GGGCAAGATGGAATTTCACTCACACCTAATGTTGAAGGCACAGGGTTTTTTTTTTTTTTTTTTTTTTTTAATGAATTTAGTTCTCTTTACCCTCTTGAAAAAATCTAGTGATGTCTGAATACTAGCCTTTTTTTTCTCCTCCTAGATTACTTTGTAGCACTGAATAGCATTCTGGAGGGGTGCCACAACCTTTGTGTATCGTTATACGTTGAGATCCTAGCAGTGTCTCTTCAAGTAAAGAAAATCCCCTTGCCGTTTCCTGTGCTTTGGATCTCTTTGGTTCTTCAGTTCCATTTACTTCTTGACATTTGTCTTTCTAATTCCCTCAGGCCCTTATTAGTAAGCTCCTTGTGTTCCACAGCAAGAAATTCAATGAAGTTTTCCTCTTGCAGATCTAGCTCCAACTTCTTACTGAGGGTCACTAAGTTGATGAAAATCTCTTTGAACTTCTTTTCTTACCCATTTTCTCAAGTTCATGAACAAACTATGAGCAAAGGTTTTTACATAACCCATTTATAGTGGCAGCAGAAACCTCATGCCAAGCACAGTTTATTTTTTTATGGCTTTATATAATCCTTCCAAAATTGTTGAAAGGTTATTCCCCAGTTGACTTCACAGCCTGAAAAATGTGTGATGTAAATAATACTTCTTAAAATTTGTAATAACTCTTTGTTCCTTAGATTTGGTAAGTGCTATAGTATTTGGAGGCAGATGCACTTCTTTGACATTGGGATGAAAGTCATTCATGAATTGGGGGTGACCTGGTTCATTGTCAAGCAGCAAAAGAATGTTGAATATTTCTCTCCAAATAGTAGTTCTCTATCCCTGAGATAAAGTGGTAGAAAAACTAGTTCTGGAAGATAGCCTGTGTATTCCAGGCTTTGGAGTTACTCTTCCACACAACAGGTAGAGAGGCCTTGGTTATGTTTTTGAGGGTTCTAGGGTACTCTAAATAGTAAATTAAAAGAAGCTTTAGTTTGATATCACTGGAAGCATTGCTGTCAAACAACAGAGTAAATCTATCCTTTGCGGCTTTGAATTGTTGCATCATCATTTGCTCTTTTCTGATATAATTTCATTCTGGCATTCTCTTCCAGAATAGTCTTCTCTTATCAATGTTAAAAACTTGTTGGGGTAAATAATTATTGGCGACTTGGCCAAGACTCCCAACTGCCTGTATGGGGGGGGTACGGTGAAAGGATGAAATAAGAAACAAACAAATTTAGTAATGCATGACAAGGGGCTGAGAGGTCCATGCCTCTGGATGGGAAAAGACAAAGATACTCCAAGCTAGCTACTTTTTATTAGCCAGTGTAGGGGAATACCAGGGTACTTCTCCTGGAACAGCTTAGAAGCAGTGATAGAATGGGCAAGTTTAACATCATAAAGGAAATAAGCCAAGATCTATCCACACACCTGTGTGCTATGTTCAACAGAGAGGAAGGTGATTTCCACATTCCAAAACTGGCCCACAAGGTTGGCAGGGTACAGAGAGCCTAGGATATACTGTGTCAATTTACAACTCATGGTCCTCAACAAGTAAGCATCTTTTATCAATAATTTCTCAGTGTTGATGGAAATTCTTGGGCAGTGATGTATCTGCACTTTCAGCTTCCCCACTTAACTTTTTTTTTTTTTTTTTTTTTGTCTTTTTCGTTTTTATCGGTACCAGGGATCGAACTCACAACTGCCTGCTTGCAAGGCAGGCGCTTATGCTGCTGAGCTAAATCCCCAGCCCCTTCCCCACTTACTTTTACGATGTGAGGGTTGGCTCCACCCTTGATTCTGTTAAATCATACATGGCTGACAGTAAAAGATATACTTTGTTCACCCCAATTTTTCTTCAAGTCTTCAAATAGGCTTTTAGCTTTTTCTAGAACAAACATTAAGCTAAGTGGGATTCAGTGGTGATGCTGATCCTACATCCACACACTGAGGAATTTCACCACCTCCTCTATCATTGTACTATGCCTTTTGGGTATTATTGTTGACTTTATTGGCGCAGCAGACTTCACATGTTTCATGCTCTTATCCTTGTTCTTTAGACTTGTGCCAGTGGTTAAATAATTGATGTTACAAGAATGAGTGACATCTACCATCTGTTTACCTCCTTGGTCCAGTCTTCAATTATTTTCACTTTTGTTTCCATGGTTATTGCTTTTTACTTTCTAGCAATCTCCTCCACACCACTACTGCTTTTCCTCTTGCTTCCACACATCCTGGGCTCTAATTGAGCACTGTACTGTACACTATTGTGCACAATAAGCACAGAGTGGCACAACTTTGACAACATTCGGCAGACATGTAAGTTACTTCAATGATTTGTTCACATCTATAAATGTTCATAATGTGAGGTTGTTAGTATCTGTGAAAGTTCACAACCTGAATATTCATAAGTACAAGACTTACTGTACTGTTTCTCTTAATTTTTTTATGAAGATCACTTTTTTAGATTATTTATTCTCTGTGTAGATTTTCATTTTCACATTTACTGCTCATTAATGATGTTTTAAATTTTTTCAGCTACAAATTTTTAAAACATCGTAAGTGCTTAAAGTCTAAGGAGAGAGATAGGAAGGGCTGGGTGTTTAGCTAAGTGCGTAAGTGCCTGCCTGGCAAATGTGAAGTCATGAGTTCGATCCCTAGTACCAAAAAGCAAAACAAAAATAATAAGAGGAACATAGGAAATAAATTATTGAACTAATAAAATTTTGAAACTTTTTAGTATATAAACACACTGGTGGTTATTATATGCAGATAATGATATTTTATTTCCCATTTCAACATTTTCTAAATTGCTTCATTTTTTAATGAAGCTACCTTTTCCAGGGCACTTGTGAGTAGTCCCCCCCACCCAGTCTTATGATTGAATTTAAGGTCTTTGCACTTAGCTGTATCCCTACACACTTGTGAGTAGTTCCCCCCTCCACCAGTACTTAGGATTGAATTTAAGGTCTTTGCACTTAGCTGTATCCCTAGCTATTTTGAGAGTGTCTTATTATGCTATTTCTCACTTTATTCTTTCTTTTTTATTAGAGCTTATCTTGCAGTGGCTTCCTTGCCTGTTTGAAAATGTCTTAAGTTTTCTTTATCTCATAATTAAATTCTAGGTGAAAAAAAATTTTTTTTTGTCTTTTTCTTTTTTATCGGTACCGGGGATTGAACTCACAACTGCCTGCTTGCAAGGCAGGCGCTTATGCCACTGAGCTAACTCTCCAGTCCCCCCAAAAATTCTTTGTTCAGTAGTATTGGATATTCAACCAAGGGCCTCATGGCAAATGTTCTGTATTCTGCCACTGAGCTATGTCATTCAGGCCTTTAATTTTTTTTTTAATTTTTATCAGCTTAAATTGCCCACACTGGCTCCAAAATTGTGATCCTTCTATCTCAGACTCCCATGTAGCTGAGATTACAGGTGTGTGCCACTGCTCCTGGCTGAAAATTGTTTTATCTTAGAATTTTTAGAGCATTGCTTATTTTCTGCCCTCCAGTGCTACTTTGAAAAGTCACATGGATGCTGGGCATGGTGGCACATGCCTATAATTCCAGCACTTGGGAGGCCGAGGCAAGGAGGATCAGTGTGAGTTTGAGACTAGCCTGGACTACAAAGTGAGCTCAAGGCCTGTCAGAACTGTCTCAGAAAAGACCAAAAAAAAAAAAAAAAAAAAAAAAAGAATCAAGTAGTATTATAAATTACTTTCCTTAACATGTAATCGTTTATGAATTTGTTTCTAATTTTATTGTATATTTTAGGATTTTTCTTTTTCTCTTGTATTTTAAATTTTATGTTGATGTATCTTTCAAGATCTTTATTACTTGTTTGGGACCTGCATCAGGTCCCTTTCAGGCTGAAAATGAGTGTCTTTTGGTTCTGCAAATTTTCTTGTACCATGTTTTTGTATAATGATAGAATTTTCTTTCCCCTATATTCTTTCTTCTGTTTTTTTCCTATAGGGAAATGCCCTTATCACTAGAATTCTCCCTCTAAATATTTCAGGGGGCTTTTTTCTAGAAAAACCTAAGACATGGAGATTTTTCATCTCCCTGTCTTTTTATGTTCTTTTCCAGTTTGCCAACACTATTTTATACTTCTATTGATTCTTTTGATTTTTTTTCCTTTTCCAAAACTTTTTCTTCTCTCTTTTGTATTTAACACCATGCTGATGCTGCATTGTCTCTAACTTTGAAGATACTTTATTTTATTTTATATTTTATTTATAACAGGGTCTTCCTAAGTTGCTAGGTTTGGGGCTGAGGATTTAGCTCAGCGGCATAAGCGCCTGCCTTGCAAGCAGGCAGTCGTGAACTCGATCCCTGGTACCGATAAAAAAAAGAAAAAGATTGGGGCTGGGGATTTAGCTCAGCGGCATAAGCGCCTTCCTTGCAAGTGTGTGGTTGTCAGTTTGATCCCTGGTACCGATAAAAACAAAAAAGACAGACAAAAAAAAAAAAAAAAGTTGCTAGATTTGCCAGGTTGGGTGTGAACCTGTAATCTTTTTGCTTCAGCCTCCCAAACTGCTAAGATTACATGCATGTACCACCATACCCTGCTATAAATATTTTCTTGCATAACTTTTTTTTTGTACCAAGAAGTGAACTCAGGACCTTGTCCTTGCCAGGCAAGTGCTGTGTTGCTGAGCTATATCCCAGGTCCCTGTATATAACTTTTTATAGTCTGGTACCTTACAATTTTTTTAACTTATGTGGAATTAATCTTTTTAGATGATATGATATCAATCCATACTGTTTTTCCCTCCAAATAACTAATCAGTTATATGAGGATATTAATTTGAGGATTATAGCAAGAGCTTACATGCTGAGGCTGTTTTGTAATGCTGACATACCCCATATTGATCAAAGAAATATGGTAGCTCTACATTTGACTGATGACTGTGGAGTCCTGTGGAACCCTCTCATCTGGTAGGAAAACAACTAAGGACCAAGTAGATTATTTCATTTTCTGAAAGAAAATATTCTAAAATTTGTTTTTTATGGTTTAGATTTCTGTGCTTGAGTCTGCTGAACAACAGGCAGCAAATATCCCCATCTTGGAAGAGCAAATTTTAAATTTGGAAGCAGAAGTTGCGGCTCAAGACAAAGTTTTGAGGTGAATATACTTTCTATCGCCCTAAAATTTTTATTCATATTTCTAGTTGTTGTATTTTGTTAAATCTTGTCCTTTATCTCCACTCCAATGAATTTATGGTGACCTAGCAGTATCCAGATATCCTAGAACTTACTGGGTATATTTTCATTCAATAAAAACTCTTGACTACAGATTATAAGTAAATATAAGGACTCTAAAAAAGATGCTGATTTACATACTTTTATTGAATATAAATTGGTTTGTTTCTTTCCCTATGTAGTAATATATACTCAATACTTCAATGGAGTTTAAGAAATAAATTATTAGGAATTAGATACTTTATCATTTATTTTTCGGTTCTGCCTAGAATAATGTGGAAATATGTGCATACTGAGTAGCATATTACATAGTTGAGTGATTTTCAAAGTACAGGTTACAGATTATCAGTCTTAGTATGATCTGGGTACTTACGAGAAATCTAAATTCTCAGCTCTTATTTCAGGCTTACTGAGAGATGGGCCCCAGAAATCTATGTTCTGACAAGTTCTGTGATAAGTCTAATATGTGCTAATGTGGTCATGCAAGTCTTAGATGTTTTGTAATTTTATTTGTAATATACATTTATATTTAAAATTTATGCCTGGATAGTTTATAAGTTCATAAGAGTATTGTGAATTTTTCTTATTCTGTTCATTGCTAGTATATGGGAAGGCTATTGATTTTTTTTTAAAGAAATAGATGTATTTATTTGTTATCAAGGCTTACCTTTAACTACTGAAATCAAATCATTCTCTTGCCTCAGCCTCCTAAATGGTTGGGACTAACAGTGTGCTCCACCATTTGTGGCTTGAGTTTTGTAGTATAATTAGTTTGTAAATGGACTGTTTTTAACACTCTTATTACAATAACTTTTCAATTTTCAGTTTTCCAGATAAGTAATGATATGAACATTAAATGAAGAAAATTTTGTCTTATCATTGTTAATGCTTACTACTTTTTCTTTTTTTTTCTTTTAACTTTGGATAGAACTGTCAGAAAAATCTTTAGATGTGGGAACAATAACACTTGTTGTTGTCTTATAATGTTTCTAGAATGTGACCATGAAAACAATGAGCCTTTACTTCAGATATATTTCTCATTGATGAAAGTATTTCTTATAAAAATTTTTAGTTGAAAATAATAAATACACTTTTTTCTGTTTGTTTCTATTAACTCCCTACTTCAAAGTCATAGAATTTCTATTGTTGTATTATTGTATACTTGTAGTTATTAGCTGTAAATTTATTTTATAGAGAGGCAGAAGATAAATTAGAGCAGAGCCAGAAAATGGTGATTGAAAAAGAACAGAGTTTGCAACAGTCCAAAGAGGAATGTATAAAGTTGAAGGTAGACTTACTTGAACAAAGTAAACAAGGGAAAAGGTATGTATTTCTGAAGCAAAAAATTTTGTTTGTTTTTCTTGAGACAGAGTCTCTCTGTGTAGTTTAGGCTGGCCTTCAACTCACTGTGGAGTCCAGTGTGGTCTTGAAACCACAGCAATCCTCCTTCCTCGGTCTCCTGAGTATTGGGATTAAAGGCATGCGCCACCATGCCCAGCTAAAGCAATCAATTTTTTTATTAAGTTTTTGGTCCAATTCAGATATACATAATGATGACAATCATGATGGGGAATTTGTATCTGTACATGTCTTGGTTACTTTTCTCTCATTGTTGAGACAGAACACTTGACGTCCAAAATGAAGGAAGGAAAAGTTTGTTTAGCTTACAGTTTTTGGAGGTTTCAGTCCATACTAAGCTGGCTCCAATACAAGGTGGAATGGCTAAGGTGCAGCAGTTTATAGTGGCCATAAGCAACAACAGCAAAAAGAGCAAAAGGGGAAAAGCATGCCTGCTTTCCTCCCTTATATTGTGTGCTGGCTGCTGCCTCTGGGCAGGTGCAGCACTTATACTGCCAATCCCAGTGCTAGACAACAAATCAATCACAAACACTAGACTCAGCTGTCTTCAACAGGCCTGCCTGCCATGGCTGCATGAAGCTTCAGGGAGACATTTAAACACACACTATAACAATTCATGATATATTTTGATTTCTCCTTTTTTCTCATTCTTCTCCTCTCCCTTCTACTTCTCTCCTCCTCCTCATTTACAAAGCTTTGTTTCTGTTTTATCCTTCCTTTCTCATTTTTTCTTTTCCCTTCTTTCCTCTTTTCCTCCTCCTCCTCTTTGCTTTTGATAGTTTCTTTCTGTTATACATTTTGGTTTTATTTATACTTTCAGATTCTTATAGCAGAGAGATAATAAGATATTTATACAGGTTTGTGCAATTTATTTCACTTAAAACTATGTTCTCAAGTTATGGACTTAAGAATATGGTTTTAAGGATGATATCTTTTGCTGTGCAAAAGCTTTTTAATAAGATGCGATCTCAGCTAGAAATGTCTCAAGTGTATCCTTTATGGCTGAGTAGTATTCGAGCATATAAAAAACCTACATCTTTTTATCCATGCATCAGTTTCCAAGGTTTAACTATTACAAATTGTGCTGCTATAAACAGGTATGCACACATATCAGTGTAGTATGACGCTTTTAATTCTTTTCAGAATATACCAAGAAGGGGAATAACTGGGTCAAATGAGACCTCTAGTTCTAGTCTTTTTAAGAGTCTTCACATTGATTTGCACAGTGGTTGTACAATTCTGCACTGTTACCAAAAGAGGATGTGTTCCTTTTTCCCCATATCCCGGTCAGCATTTGTTATCAGTTGATTTCTTTCTTTCTTTCTTTTTTTTTTTTTTTTTTCTTTTGGTAACAGGGATCAAACTCACAACCATGCGCTTCTCTTTGAGAGGACACAGTATTTCAGGCGCCATCTTGGAAACAGACAAACTGGACCATAACTTTCTAGGACCTTATTCTTGAACTTCCTAGCCCCTAGAGCTATCAGTAATACATTTCTATTCTTTATAAATTAGTTAATTCATGGTATTTTTATTTTTATTTTTAAATTTTATTTAAGGAGAAAAAGAAAAAAACAGAAAAATGGTACAAGTTATACAGAATTTCAAAAAAATAAACTAGGAAATCACTAGTTAATAGATTACATATTGTCATCTTATGAAATAGTTGTTTAAGTTACAAAATTAAAGCATATAAAGTGGACATTCAAACAGTGAGACTGCAAACAGTTCTGTTCAATGATCCAAAAAAACTCAGTAATATGGTTATCTATCTTCTACACTTAAATATACAAGGAGTTATATCTTTTAGAGCACTTTCTTTTCCTCTATTTTTTACAATGACAATTACACATTTTGGGTTTTATTACTCCCACAGTTTTTATTACTTTTTTTTGAAGAGAATAAAACCAAATGTGACATAACAAAACAGAGTTAGTCAAATCAAAAGGATGGACATAATACATAATGTAAAAACAGAATAGAAGATGATCAACAATGGTTATCATAATGCCTCTTGTTATCTTAAAAAGAATTGCCTATATCATCAGTTATAATAAAATTGAACAAAACAATAAAGAACAAAACCAATAAAACCAAAACATTGGAGGCATTACAGGACTTCAAAAGAAGATAATAGTCAAACCAGCATGGGCGTCATAATGAATCTTATTGGATTCACAGTTGTTGACTATACTCTCAAACTTGGTACTATCAAGCAAAACAGAATAGAGGAAAATCAGTCAAAACAAGATGATGAGAGCAATACAGAGTTTCTTTTTTTTTTTTGTCTTTTTCCTTTTTATCGGTACCAGGGATCAAACTCACGACTGCCTGTCTACAAGACAGGCGCTTATGCCGCTGAGCTAAATCCCCAGCCCCCAGAGTTTCAAATCAAGTTAATAGGAAATCAAAGTGGGTTATTATAATATATCCTGCTATTTTTTATTTATTGTTTCCCTTAATTAAAAAGATAAAAATAAAAAAGTAAATAATAAAGAAGGGAGATTGAGATAAAAGAGGACATAACAACAAAACAGCACAGGTCAGAACATAACCATTTAAGCAAAATAGTGTTTCACCACAAGATATCCCGATATAAAAGTAGTTACCATAGTGTCTCTTTCCTTCAGATCTTTGAGTATAACTTCGCATACTGTAGCATCAAACATACCAAGACAATGTAAAACCATTCAAGAGAATGACAGTATTACAGGGTATTTAGAACCAACTAACAGAAAATGAACAGTGATTTCTGTATAATCTCCATATCTATAAAAGTTTTTGTTTATATTATCATGTATAATACAGTCCAATAAGATACAACATGTTAAGATCGATGGAGACAGAAGAACAAAAGCTTGACGGGACTTCAAAACAAGATGACATTAAATCCACACTAGCTATTATGATGTCTTGTTTTCTCCAAAATAGCTGTTCCTAGCATCCAACCTTCTCTGCCTCATTTCTGTTGAGCTCTTTTTCTGCCATTAGTTGTCAGTTTGTCTTCTTCGTTTCACTTTCTGCTCCATTCATTGTGGCCTCTCTGCCACTGTTTCTGGAATCTTGGTATTTTTCTTTTTTAGAATGTCCTGCAGTAATCTCTGTAGAGTTGAATTGGTGGTTGCAAATTCCCCTAGTTCCTCTTTATCCTAGAAGCACCTTGTTTCTCCATTAATTTGTAGGGACAGTTGTGCAGGATATATCAATCTTGGCTGAAGGTTATTATCTTTCAAAGCTTAAATTATTTCGCCTTACGCTCTTTGTGATTTGATGGTTTGTGCCAAGAAGTCTGCTGTAATTCTGATGGATGTTCCCATGTAAGCAATCTGTTTCTTGTCTTTGATGGCTTTTAATGTTCTGTTCTTATATTGGATTTCTGGAATTTTGATTATTATATGCCTGTGTGTAGCTCTGTTTGGGTTGTAGGTGGCTGGGGTCCTGTATGCCTCATACATCTGAGTATCTTTACCTTTAGCTAAACTAGGGAAATTCTCCTGGATTATTTCTTTGAATAGTCTTTTGTCGTTCATTTGTTTGTGTTCCTACTTCTTCTTTTATGTTCTTAATTCTTAAGTGATAGATCCTTTTATCATCTTCAAGCCTTTGTATTATTGCTGTTTGTTTCCTTGTTATTTTTAAGAAGTTTTTCATTTCATGCTCCCACATTACAAATCTGCCCTCCAGTTCAGTTAATCTATCCTTAGTTTCTTTCAAGCTGTTATGCCAGCTTTCGACAGAGTTTTTAGTTTCCTGGTAATCTCTTTGAACCTGCTTCAATTCCCAGTACTAAATATAGAACCCTGGACCTTCACACTGAGCTATATTCCCATCTCTTTATTTTATGAGCGAATATCACAGAATTGCCCAGGCTCGACTTGAACTTGTGTCCCTCCTGCCTCAGCCTTCCAAAGTGTTGTGATTACTGGCATGTTACACTAAGCCTAGCTGGAAAGAATGTTTTTAAATGAGATCCAGAAAGCATAAGTAACATAGGAAAAGCTTACTGAAGTTTGAATTCATTAAAAAAATTTTTATGTTCATCATATTGGAAAAGATAAGGCATATATTTGAGAGCATATTATAAGTATCATTCACTAAGATTAGATTTTGTATAACCTTGGGCTCGGGATTTAGCTCAGTGGCTTAAGTGCCTGCCTGGTAAGAGCAAGGTTATGAATTCGATCCCCGCACCAAAAAAAAAAAAAAAAAAAAAAAAGAGTCCCATGAGATTGGGCCATCCAAATAGATAATATTAAATCTAGACCCATATCTACAATGATGTACTAACTAAAATAAAAGTGAATTGAGGAAGCCAGGCCTGGTGGCACATGCCTATAATTCCATCATTTGTGTGGCTGAGGCAGGAGGATTCCTGTAAGTTCAAGACCAGCCTGGGCTACATAATGAGTTCAAGGCCAGCCTGTACTAGCAAAACCCTGTGTGAAAAAGATTTAAAAAGAAAAAAAAGTATCAAAGAACCAAAAATTTGAGCAGTAACACTTAGATAAAATAGTGTTATGGGGTGTGTGTGTGTGTGTGTGTGTGTATCTATTTTTTTTTTTTCTTTCAGAGCTTCGTGACTCCTACATGGGGCTTCTGGTAATGGCTGGATCTAGGGTGTGTGAATATGGGATTAAGGATGAGTGATAACTAAATTAGTCTGGTAATCAGTTTAGGATAGTTCTGGGTGTGAATAATAGGAAGGCCTACCCTGAGTGTGAGTGGCACCAGCCAATAGGCTCCATAGCCTGATTGGAATAAAAGGGGAAAGAAGCTTGCTGTTGATGCTTCTGCTGCCTCTTGCCTACTCTCCCTGACCTGTTACTTCTCTCCAGTGACCCTCTGCCATACTGCCCTTCCTTGGAGTCAGCCAATTATGAACTGTAACTTCTATAAATTGTGAGTTAAAATTAGTTTTTCCTCCTTTAATTTATGAGTATCTGATATTTTGTCCTAGCAATAGA